GAAGGTATTTCCTTATCTTGTCTGTAGCCCGTCCTTTTTCTTTCACTATTTGAAGTCCACAGGCCAAACCCAGCAATGCTGGATCTGTCCCTGCTGGGAGGGACTGACACAAGCAGGAAGGGAGAAGGCACCAGTCCCTGTTGGCAGCACTCAGGGCACATGTCTGAGGCTTGTTTGGCCGAGATGTGAATTCCTTCCCTTCATCAGGCAGAGCTACAGCCATGGACTGTGGCCCAACACAGATTAAAGCAGGTTCAGCCGCTCCTCCTCCAAACAAACCCTCCATCCCGAGGAACTGGGAGCAACGAGGAACAGCAGGGGCTGGCACAGCCCTCAGCAGACGTTCCTGTTGGCACAAGGGGTGTCTGGGTACAGTTACAAATGCACTGCTGCCCAGCAGAGCATGGAAACAACCTGCTGCTGCTCCTCTTTGGTGTCACAGTGTTTTCCTGGGAGCAGCATGGGTTTGGTTTTCCTGTCTGCACAGAAAAATGACTGTTCTGTAAGCTCAGAGTGAGATATTCCCTTCTCCTCATACTTATCCCTTCAGATTTTACAATGACAGCATGCTAAGAGGGAACAGAAGGACTGAATAATGCAGAAATCAGTTTGGCACATCTGGAAAAAATGCCTCTGTGTTTCCTTCTGTAAATGTTGCGAACAGGTGGGAAGTGCAGCTGTCTGAAAAACTTCATCTTATTCCCAGGAAGAATTTTGATTATTTTTTTAATCATCCCCAAAGTGAGATTCTTCAGTTTTGAGGTGATTCTGATTTGCGAAAAATGCTGTTTAAAAGACAGAGAGTGACAGACACTATGAAAAAAGAGTAAAAAAATCTGTGCAAACACAACTTTTTAAAAAAACACAGAATTAAGATGGAAGAATCTTACCATACCCTGACAGAGAGAGCCTTCTAGCAATCACTTCCAAGATCTCCATAGGCTGATATGCCACAGGAACTAAAAGTCTTGACATCTAGTGAGACTTTCACCCTTTATTTCAAGGTCACAGTAACTTCAATGCACATGATTTTAATGGGATCAAGAGGGGATTGTCACCTGTCACCCCATGGGTGGTGGCCTGTCTTGGGGCTGGTGTTTCGTGAGGATCTCTGTTCTGTCCTCTTAACCACAACCTGTGGATTAATATTGAAATAACCCTTAAAATTCCTACAGCATTGCACCCATGTGGAGATAGGTGACTTTAAATGCACCTTTAAGCAATTGTGGAAATTTCTATGCTAAGAACTTATTCATACGAAATTGTTATTCATATGAAATTGTTATTCATATGGAATTGTGATAAAGCTCAGAACATGAACCAGAATTTGAAAACCGTGGCTTTTGGCTGCCTTTCAAGAAAGGCATTTTATTTTCACCCTGCATTTGGTAATCCAAAATGAAAATCTAAGTGAGATGGAAGAGTAACTGCTATGTGCCATGTTGCATTGATTGTGGAAGTTACTTTACATAGTTCTGGGAATGCACAAGTTGCCAGAATCTTTTTGTGCTTTCATTTATAAAAATCTTGCACAATAAGGTGGCTGTGGGCAGATATTAATGCTAATGCATGAGACAACTGCTTACCTTGTATGTGCAGGGCTGTTTTGTGTAGATGGTTTCTTCACGTGGGTTTATCACTTCTCCTCCAGTTCTGCCTTCATTCCCTCTCCTTTTACTGCCTGACTTCATCAAGTCTTTACTTTTCTGCTTGTCCAAAAAGTACCTTGCAAACCTACAAGGATAAATAAATAGCATTAGTGATAAATGCTTAATCAGTTACCTTGTAGTTCTTGGCCTCAGCATTGACTCTGTTGGCTTGTGCAAAACCAGCCCTGCAGGTGTGGTGAAGCCTCCAGTGTGGTGTCCCACAGGATGGGTGTAGAGCAGCAGCACATGGGGGTATTTTTGTTGAGCTACAGATGCATTTTTATATAAAAATGTGTAAAAAAGCAAAGATTCCTTAGTAATCAGTTAAAGCAGTTGGCATTTTTCACGGATGTACAGAAAAGAAGTCTCCTTATTTTAGAGTTCATTTAGTGAAGCTTATGGCCAATCTCATTCTTTTCATAATGAAGCCTTGCTGTAATCCCACCTCTGCTCTCCTAAATTCCTCACTTCAAACGTGGAGATAGCAGTTAAAATTAAATGCTACTTCATGGAAACCACCAGTTCTCTTATTCCTGTGAATTTTCATCCTTGAGCTTCTCGGGCTAATGATAAATAGCTGATTCCTTCCCTTCCTTGTGCTTTTTCTCCAAACAACAACAAAAAATTGCTCCGTTAAATTCCAGTTCAAATTAATGGAAGTCTGGGGGAGAAGGAGCAGACAAACAAACCAGGAAGTGTTTTATATTTGGGTTTTTCGTTTCATCTCGTGGCAGATGGGTTTGGTGTTTTTTACAGCCACCTTTTGAAATCAGTATGTTATTTTGTCATTTCTTTGCAGGAGAGTAACAGCTCTGAATCTTTATCATATTGATCGTTTCACAGCCCTTCGTCTGGGGCCCAAGATAATACAGAGCATTGTTATTGCATTATTATTTTTCATTTGTATCCTATTGATTTGCTGCCAGTAACTTACAGGTCAATTTGCAAAAAGATGGGCTATGATTTATTTTTTTTCTGAAGGATTATGCCACGATGGGAATGCTTTTATAAGGCTGTCAGATTTTTTCTTCTCTCGGGAGTGCAGCACATTTCTGGGCTGGTGGCACGGTTCCACCTGGATTTACACCCGGAATATCCATGACTCTCATATAATTCATATGGATAAGTGGCTGTACACAAGCCTACCCTTAAATTGGAATTTTACTCCCGGGAAATGGTTCTTTTCTCACTCAGAAATAACACACAAAGTCAATATAGTTACACTGATGTAAAAGAGAGGGGAGAGGAGACTTTATCTGTCTGAACACAACAAGCTCCCAAGGTTTAACACCCCCAAATGGCAGGTGCTAAAAACAGACATGAAAAATTATTTTTGGTACCATCTTTTTTGTTTGCCATAGTAACAACAGTTTACTACCAAGTAGTAGTAGTCCAGTTACTAACAACTTGGTACTCAGAAGGCCCACTTTTGAAACAAAATAAAGACTCTTAACCAAATGTTTTCCTTATTTATATTTGACTTACCATCATTAGAATGTAGCTACTAGGAAAGCATGGATTATAACAGTATGTAAAATTGCACAAGTACTTTTAATTCCTTCTGTATAAAACTCCTGCTACATAATTTACACGGGGTGAGTTTTTTAATTACTCAGTGCAAAATGTGTTAAATGCAGTAGCTGATGTATACATCCACCGTGATTTGTGCTATTATTTTTCCCTGGAACCCACCCAGGTAAATCAAACCCACAGTGAGGGACTTCCAGTTCATGTTCTGCTTACAGTGTATTGAATTTTCCTGGCATCCTTTCAGCAGGAGCAATTTGACAAGAGAATTTTTTTTGGTAGCACTGAATCCCTTTTTCTGCCAGTGAATATTTTCCCGTTTGGAATTGCTGTGATGTTTTACACTGGACTGAGGTACAGAACTGGGTGCTGATGTTAAACCATCCTCTTACCAGCTCAGGTCACTGGAATAACCTTCTCAGTGTGGGAAATTTTATTCTAAATTGTAGATCATTGATGGAGCTCAAAGCAAGACACAGCCCAATTAAATTTCTCATTCATATCGTGTCCCATGACAAGAAAATTATCAAGTAGCTGAATTGATGCCCTTATGTTGTAGGAATATTTCAAAGAATGTTTTAGTTTGTTTTCTTTTCTTTCTTGCCCAGGTTTTGCTTCACATTTTGACACCACTAGGTGTCTAATACAACTATACTAGACAGGAGTGAGGTCAAATGAGATTTCCTGCTTAAAATGGAGGAGTTAAGTCAAAATGTGCTGTGAGTGGCTGTTAAATGCAGCACAACATTTCATATATATATATAGTCATATATATATATGCATGTGCAGCTAAATATTTTAGTATGCATTTATGTTAATATTTGAGAAACAAAAATGACCATGTTCCAAGACTGCTGGAAGTTTTCTTAAACACTATTGGATGATATAGTGCTATTTATAAATAGAGGAAAAAAAGTAATTTTTTTTGTTGGTAATATTCACGAGTGCTTTAGTGAAGCTGAGATTTTTTTTTTTAATTGAAAAGGAATTTCCTTAAAAAAGCCAAATCCTTTAATTTATTACTAAGGAATCTCTGAGGTTTTTACACATTTTTATATGAAAATGTCTCTGAATATTATATTCAGAACAACTAAGTTGTAGTTTCAAAATTTGTCGTCCTTTACAAGAATGAAAGATGTTTCAAATTGGTCAAAATCTGTTTCAGCAGGTCTCTGTCAGCTCTGTGTCTGTTAACACAAGTCAGCTTCTGTTAACAAACACAAGGAGTTTAATGTTTAAAGTTAATGCTTTAAAGTTAAACATTGTTTTATAAATCAAAGCAACTGTTTTCCACCAAACCTGAGTTCTGTTTTATTTCAGAGTCCTGCAAAAGTATCTGCCTTGTATCTGCCAGTAAATTGTGAAAACAGTTTGTGCTTTCCTCAGTTCAGTTGTACTTCCCAAGAAAGGGAGATTCAGCAAGAGTTTCTAAGTTACCCAGGCACTTAGAAAAGACCCCAAGCACTTTTTACAATGATGAATGAGGATATTTATTCCTCAACTCAGGTTTAGTGATTGACTCAGACATTCTGACTGCTGCAATGACACTGAAGTTGGGATATTTGAAATGAATCAGTGAGCAGAACACTGAATTGAACTTATTGCTGATTTACTACCTGATATCTGCACAGAACCCAACATTTCTGATTTCCTCTTTTAAATCTGGCAGCTCAACCATAGTTATAGTAAGCCTTGCTTCACTCTTTGATTGTGAACAAGTAAAAAGCAATGAAATATTAGTTACATAAATGTCTATCTCTAAAAATTCTCCATGGGTGATAAATAATTAACTGGATTATTTACTTTTTTTTTTTCCCCAGCAATAATATACAGTGCCTGAGTTAAGAGGTGACTTATCACAGATATCAAGCTCTTCTGGAAGTTCTCTGTTTCCTGCACTGTTTCTGGCTTGGTGCAGCCCTGGACAATGTCAGGTGGGTCAGCTCCTGTCAGGGTAGGTGCATCCTCCCCCAGCCAGCAGGTCACTGAAGGGTTACTGATGCACCATCTGTTGACTTGGCTACTGGAATGGGAATAATTTGTGGCAGGATCCCAAATGATGAATTAACACTCAAATTTGTGTTGGGGATAAACATATTTATAAAGCTGCAATGCAATTACTTAATGCTATTACCAGATAATAAGGGAACTCTTCTGGAATTTTGTTGTCTGTAAAGACATCCTTACTCTTTGCTAACTTAGGAAAGTACATTACAGAGCTTTGGCAAAATCCCCACCTTTTATACAGTGCTATTCCCGAAGAACTGCCCAAGCAAATCAGGTTATGCCTCTGCACATCAGAGCCTTCATCATCTGAGTTTTGCCCTTACATGCAGAAGCAAAGACAACATTCATATTTTAATAACCTTGAACCAAAGTTCAGGTGGTGTTGCAGAACTGGGGAAACATATATCCATAAACTGTTTTCCTGGCATAGAGAAGCCAAAATTTCATTCTAGATCAAATCATGTGGATTAAATGTCAACAGCCATAACCTTCAAGCAGGACTTGCAAACTCAATCACTGGATTATGCCGGACCAGTCTAATTCTTCATAAATCTCTTCTATGTCTTTTGATATCATTAATGAATTTCTATGATAGTAAAATATATGAGATAATATAAACATTAAAAAGGGACAGCAAATTAATCTTTTTAATATTATCTCTCTTAGGAAGCAAGTGCTTCCTTAATATGAAAATTCATTGGCAGAACCTAGAAGTGAGTAATGGGTGCACTCCTGTGAAGAGGACATCTGACTGTGAACATCAAAGCAACTTGTGGCTGTTGGGTTGTGTTTGTGTTCACACAGGAAATCTGTCATTCAGCACCAGCGGGGCATTTGTAGCTTGGGCACCTCTGGCTATGCAGTCTCACAGTGTAGCAGCCTGTCTGTACAAATAACTCTCTCCTGATATTTCAGGTTTCCAGAGTTTTGTTCTTCCATGTTGGTCTGGAATATGTTTACAAAATACACGTGTATGTGCAGTTCATATTGCTAAGTATGGGGTTTTTTCCTCAACAAAACATAAACTGTGGCACGAGGCTACTCAAAGGCATTTTTCTGCACAGTAGATTTTATTCTGCAAATTAAACTGCTGAAGTTGCAGCTGAACTTAGTAGCCAAGTTTATTCTGTCAGTGTCTGGTCTGTAATTCATGAACCTCCCTTTTTTGTAGCCAGAAGATTCCCTACTCTCTTTTTATTAGTCCTTTTAGGAATATATAATCATGATTTTCTTAAGGTATTTATATGACTTCCAGGACCTATACCAAAAAATACCTTTTTTTTTTTTTCTCTCCTCACAGGGATGTGGTGTCACCACTTGAAGATCTCAGGAAGGACAAATCAATTTTGAAGTGAGTCCTGGTGCTTCTTTTTAACAATTAGTATTCCTGTTTCCCGTGGTTCCTCCTTTATAATGAGGTCTAAACATGTCAAGTCATTCTGGAATATTCCCTGAAGTATTTTGCTCTCTAAAGACAGCCATGGGGATGTTCAAACATTTCTGAATTAGGTCAGACTGAGGCAACAACACACGTTTTATCACGGAAGCAGCACACCGAAGGAAGTGTCAGGTTTTCCATTTCAGAGGGACTCCAGGCCAGGCCTTGGTGCCTTTTTGCATCTTTCCCACGGGGTACCTGGATGGATCCCAGGGCCACACGGTGAGGTTATTTACCATGAGTTGTACAGGTGGTGAGTCTAAATGATCTAATGATCTTATGCCCAGAAAATCTCTCACTCTACATAATATTCCTGACCTTTTCCTCTGTCACTCATTCATCTGCACTTGGAGAAGGCTGGCACGTGGCTTCTTTTATTGATGGCTTGCTGCATGTCCTAGGATCACTGTTAATGTGCTGTAATCTTTATATAGCCATTAAAGCACTATTAGAGACCTCAGTCTTGGACTTTATATGGTCGTTGGAAGAGTTTTACACAGGTTATTATCATGGTCCTCTGTCTGGAACTGTTCAGCAAACGCCAGGCAGCAATTACAGAAAGGGTTACTTACCATCAAACCCGTACACAGGGAGTTGCTGAGATATATTTCAGAGGTATAATTCACCCATCCACCAGAGCACAATAAACCACCTTCTTTATTTCTGATTTTATTGGTTCTGTCTGCTCTCATCTGGTGCCTGAACATTTTATCTGTTCACGCCGCTGTTTTCTAATGCAATAAAAAGAGCAGACAGGATTTTGCCCTTTATTTAAAATGTTTTGCTGCATTTAGAGGTAAATAACAACCACTTTTTGTGTTGTATATTTTGAGACTTATCTGAGAAAGAATTGTTTTGATAGTAAGCAGGCTTTACAGGGTCCAACCATTGTTTAATATGAATAGTCTCTTCCTAACATCTTATTTTTCCTTTGCTCTGACATGAACCTGTCCCTCTCCCCTTCCATCAGCTCGTGCCCTATGTGGGTGGTTTCCAAAGTGTGGTAGTGGTCAAACACAGCTCTCACCCCACAAACCAAGATGAGAGCTGGGTACTTGCCCTCAGGCTTAGGAAGAGACATCTCTGGGAGTCAGGCACCTGAGTTCCTTCATTAATATTAAAGCAAAAAAAGGAGAGGAAGGCTCTGGCTCCCAGTGCTTACATGAATGGAGTTTAAATCATTTACATGAGGAATTCAGCGAGCAGAGATCCTCACTTTCAAGCAGATATGTCTTTTCAGGAACAAACTGACACTGAGCACCAAAACAGATCACAGGAACTACAACAAAAAGCAGTGTTCTGCCAAAGCTAAAGGCTGAGGAGTCTGTCAGGGAGAATGATGGAGCTAGAGGAGTGGTATTATAACAGGGAGAGGGGGAAAGAGTGGAAAGTATAAGAAACTGGAAAAGACTTTAAGAGACATAATGCTGTTTAATGGGGCAGAAACTGAGAGACAAGTGAACCACAGTGCAGTGATCAGCATTTTGTCAAGACGATTTGTAAAAGGTGACAAGTTGTAGATTAAACGCTTCGATTCACCTTTATGTCACTCTGCCTGTGCACTTGTGTCATTCTTTTAATGTAATAACCTCCACTAACACTTATAGGCTGCTGCATAATTTTGTTGACCTTAAATTAAGGAAAAAAGATGTGATTCTGGAATTTGAAGCCTGCAGTACTTTACTGGCTAAAGGGTAAAATAAAGAGGTGTAGCTGAGTGACGTTTTCATGTCACGTGATGAATCCAGGCTCATGCATCATAGGAAGTCCAAAACAACTTGGTTCATGTAATTTCAGCCTCTGTCTCAATCCTAAAATTGTATTAAAATTAAAGCCTCAGTTTTTAGGTATTTCTCATAATGATTTATGGGAATTGTTTTCTTTGTAACACAGAATATCATAGGATGGGAAACAGCAGTAGTTTGGGGGATCTTTCTGCTTTCTTTCCTTTTCTCTTTGTTCCTTGCTATGTGACACTGCAGAAATGCAATCTAAGTGAGTAGAAGAAAGGCAACTACATTAGGTTAACAAGTGAGGAAAAAAAGTCAATCTTTCAGGCTTTAGAGGAGCTGATAAAGGAAAAAAAACTGTGCCTGCAGTAGAAAGCCAAAAGATACCAAACAGCCTGAGATATGCTTTCACAAATCAACAAAGAACATAAACTAGGGAAAAAAATGCCTTCCTCTGGTCAGTGTCCCTAAGATGAGAAACTGAAAACCTGTGAGTATAAAACAGGTGTGGGATGGTTGTCAGTGGAATGTCAGCTTCCAGCAGACAGGAATAACTCAGAGGGCTCGGGATGACTTCTCTGCTGCCTCACACATTGTATAGTCTTTTAATCAAACCCCAGAACAAATCGTTTCCAGCCCCAAAACACACATCAGACCACGAGAAAGAGGATTACAGCACAAATGGTGCTTTACCAGGATTTAAGATCTAGAACTAGTACTAGACAGGGTTCAGCTTGAGTAATGATCTTAGTTCCTTCCTTTTCCCTTTCTCCTGAAATATATTTACCTACATACATACCTGTTTCTTCAGCTGGCTTCTGGAGATCTTCAGAGGATCCATCCTTGAAGCACTTCCATCCTGGAAGTGCTCTGACCTTTAGATATGGACAGAGGAGCTGTGTATTCTCATGTTCTATAGTATGTATTGACAATAATGGCAGCTTTTCCATTCCCTTTGTAAATAGTTTAATTTTTACATATTTCTACGATTTCAGGATATAGTTGCCCTTCCATAATATATAATATTTCTATCAATTCTTTTAATCTAGGGATGCCAATGCTGTACCACATATTGATAAATACGTTATACCATTTAAACCATGTCACTCATCCAAAAGGAAAAATGCCAGATAATCTGTAATATGAGGCTAATTAATTTATCCACAGAGGCAACACTACACGCACGGCTTGACTGATAAGCAGCTTCTGTCTCCTGTGGCCAGTGGTAATTCCTTTTCCATATTAGCCACGTGTTGGACCTTGGGTTTGCACATTTTGACACTGGTGCCAGATTATAGGTAACAGCTTTGGAATGTGGAGTATCCGCTGACGAGGATTGCACACCACTACCAAAATAATTTCAGTTAGCACCCCAATTAACTGTAGAACTGAACTCCAGGGGTAGTAACCAGTGTCTTATCAATTTAATTGGTTGGTGCCCATGGATTTTTTTCTTCAGAATATTTTCAGGGAAGGATACGAGATACACCTTTTACCTCTCTGTTTTTGTCTCTTTCCATGGTATATCAATATATCACATCAATCCCTTCAACATCTGAGAGGAATCCAACAGAAAAATCTTCAGTCTTCTAGGCCCCTAGAAGAAGTTTTTACCCCAGTGTCTGGAGCAATACTTCGGAAAATATTTCTGTAAAATTCTCCTTTTAATTCTTGATCATGCTCAGACATATTAGACTGATATAAAAGCAGTGTATAACTAACTTCACCAGCCTCGGTGGAATAGCCGAAGTCTCTGCCAACTTTGCACTATCAAAGCATAATTATATTACAGTTATAAATATAATTATCACAGGACATTGGCTTCACAACCTGAATCTTCATGCTGAGGGCAGATAATAGCATTTGTCTAATATTTGCTTGACACAGGGACTGATAACTCCAGGCTTTGTGACAGACCAAATCCTTGCTCTCCCCAGTTCCTTGGAGCTGAAGGTGCTCACCCACACTGACAGTTTAGTCAGTGAGACTGGATTATGTTTCTACTAGCAGAGCTGCTGTTATGGAAATTCCTATTCCAATGCACTTCCATAGAGAGAGAAATACAGACAAAAAAAAACCAAGTTAAAAACTAGAAGGCAGCATTTCTGTGGCAGTGTAGCAACCAAAGAGGTGAAATACCAACAGAGAGGAGAGGAAGGTCACTGTCCTGAGGGAAAGCAATGCCAGATGGCCACGAGCACAAATTAAAAATTCTGCAGATATGAATTTTACTCTCACCCTTTGATTTTTTTAGCATAATTTGCACTGCAGTTTATTTTCATGGCCATTGGGGGGTTGGTAAAGGGCCAGATTGCTCTAAAGGGAAAATATTTTAATGTCTACATACAGTGGGATATTCATATTGTCAGCATTAAACCTACTCGGATCAGCTCTGTCTCCTGAGATGACAGTGGCAATAAAAGAGCCACCTGAGGGTCTCTTACAGCTGAGATGCAAATGCCCTCTCCCTTTTCTTGTAAAACAAAGCACGTGCACAGATCTCCTAGATGTGGTTGGACCCCACTGAAACTTTGATTTAACTGCATTTCTGTGCTGAATCGAAATTTTCAATGGCAACCTGAGAACATTTTGGCCTTGAATAAGAAGAGACATTTCTTAATAACTGCAACTAGCTGCTTCAGAATTAAAACAAATGTTGACTGCACATTCATCCTGGCAAAAATAGAAGAACTGACCTTAGTAATGATTAACGGGGAATACGCCCAGATGTACATTTGAAACATTTGCATTTCAAGCACCAGAGAATAGTTTTTCCTCCCTAATGTTGCATAAAGAATAGTCAATAAACTGCCATTCCTGTTTATGTTAGAGCTATATAACTGAGCAACCAGTGTTTCCAATGTTGTTTCACTTCACAATCTTCTGAGTTTTTCTTCTGCCGTGTTGTGTTTATTTTCTGGACATATTCAATTTTGCTTTTACAGGAGATAAAAATAATAAAAGAAATCTTATGGTAGAATAGTGGGAAGCAAATGACACTCGTGCATTTTTCATTGATCCTTGAAAAATTAGATGAGCCTCAGACTTACTTTTGGATTTATCTATGCTGTGTTAGGGTGTTCTCAAAGAACCTTAAAGAAACAAATTCTCTGTTTTGCCTCCTATTTGTGGTAGGGGCAAAGAAGAACAAAATGAAATATCAGACTCAATGGCTTAAAAACCTGATAAACCTGTAGGAGAAAGATGTTTTCTGCTGCATCATTTGTCATAAATGAAGTTATTAAGATTTAAAAAAAAACCCTCAACCCTAGCAGCCTTTGCCAGAAATGGGATAGACACAGTAATCTTGAAACAGTTATTCCTTCAGTCTTTCTAACCTCTGAAGACAACTAAATTAACACAGAAATTGGAGCTCTCACACACCCTACAGCCAACAGCTCCCAAAATTATGAAAACCTTTATTGATTCAATTTGTTACAAATGCTGTCCTGAAGCAGCAAAAGTGACTCTGCACTGATTTATTTAATCCTTTTACCTTTTGGCTGAGGGTATGCTTTGGCTTTGCACGGTCCCACTGAAGAGCAATGGAGAGCATAACACGGATTACTTAGTCATGGAATCATCAAGGCATCTGCTAAGACTATTAGGTTGGGTTTTTCTCTTCCTACCGACTGTACTGGTGGACAGTATTCTCAGACTGTGTTCAGACTGCCTGGTCTGTTTACCTGGTCATTTTTAATTCTGCACTGATGGATTTGTCAGTTATCACATCGAACACAAGTATCAATATTGGTACTTTCTGCATGTTTGAAGCCTTTTATGGATGTGGCTCCAGGGTTTTCTGTTTACAAGCAAACTGCAATTCATATTTACACTGTTCATTTTGATCTGTGAAACAGAGAAAAAAATCACAGTCACTAAGGTTGGAAAAGCTCTCTAAGATCATCAAATCCAACCATTCTGCCAGCACTGCCAAGGTCACCACTGAACCATCTCCCTGAGTGCCCCGAAGGTGTCCCCCAGGGTGGCACTGACCACACTTGTCCATCCCAGGAGGGCTCGTGGATCATAAACTAACATTTCTGGAATCAGGAATCTCCAAGGTGTTTCTAACAACATACTCCATCAGTTCTTGTCACTTTTTATTCAGTGCAAGTAGGAAAATTTCTGAGATGGACAATGAAAAGCAATACATAAAAATCCAAAACAAATGATCATAAATGGCCCTGATGAGAATCCAGATCATACATAATTTAATGGAGGTAGAAGGTCATTCTAAACACATTAAATATAACAGCACAAAGCAAACAGGCAAAGCACATCCTTATGTCATTGTGATATTGAGATTGAAAGATCACATGCTTAAAATAACTTAAAAGGAAAATAGAAAGTACTCAACAAGTGGAAAGCCAGATTTTTCTCTGCAAGTGCCATAGGTTTTGGGCACCCAGACCTGAAACATCAGTCAGCCATCACCCTCAGGAGTCCTGCTTTTGTCCTGCTTTGGAGTGTACACCAACAGTTCAGACTGAGATTAAGGGCAGCATTTCATAGGGGAAAAGGAATGGCAGCTGTCCCCTCCACTAAATAGTGGCAGTTAACACCAGAGATAAAATTCTGGCTGTTTTATCTCCTGTAAGAGCTGAAGAGATACACATGCATGTTATCAGGAGTTTTCCCATAGAATACTCGTGTACATTTTCA